TAAAAGGGAAAAAATCCAGGAGGCCGATGGTTCAAGGCAGCAACGCCAGGCCACTAAGGGATATGCATTGTGGCCAGGCCACTAAGGGATAGCATATGCATTGTGGCCACAGACACCATCTTTTTGACCCATCACAGTTTGTGACAGTTTGTGATGACAACATAGTGATCTGTATAAAGGAAAAGGCTGGGAACGGGCCCTTCCAATCTTGTCTGCTTCCACACATTTACAGACATTTAAATTGCAAAAATTCAGTATTCTTTTAAGTACGTCTTCTTACTGCTTCACATTCCTTTTGATGAGAAACAGCCTACAAGACTCATGCTTTTTATTTTAAAAGATTTTACAGAGATTTCCAAAAAGGAAAACACTGACTGTAGGTTCTTAAGAAAGCAAGATTGGAAGGTCCTCCAGCTAAGTCATAAATTTCTTCCCACCTCTTTAGCTGCTTCCAGACAGACCTTTTAACATGCAGCATGCATGCTTCTTGAGAGCAATTTCATGGAGTACCCAGATGACATCAGCATCCTTACTTTTATCTTTCTTTTGTCCTTTGTTTTTTTCTCTGAATGGGAGTAACTTGAGAGCAATTTCATGGAGTACCCAGATGACATCAGCATCCTTACTTTTATCTTTCTTTTGTCCTTTGTTTTTTTCTCTGAATGGGAGTAATCTGTTTTGGACAGAAAAAGCAAATTAGTCATGCAAACCTCAAAAAAGATTGATCTTCTATAGCACTTCGCTTCTGTAGAATTGGGAAACAGGTTTGATATCAGCCCTTGCCTGTTTTCGCTCATAACAGCTAAAGTTGTTCTGAGCCTTTTTAATAAACATTTTTATTTTTTCTTTAGGCTGGAATTTAAAGACACTACATTTGTAGTTTTGAAAGTAGTTCTGTACCACGGCACTATCACTCTGCTCATCCTTCATATTCAGAGTTTAAGAAATCTTTTTTCTGTGAGAGCACAGGAGAGGACAGTATACTTGTAGGCACTGTGTGTTTGTGTGTATGTCTATAAAACAGTACAAGGATGTCATTCCCCCTTCCCCACGTCATCCAGAGAGATGTCGCAATTGCATGGGAGGAGTTAACAAAGGAGGAATAGCAGAACTTGGATGTGTGTGCTTATGATTTTTTAAACATGCAATACAATTGTATTTATATTTTTATACTTTATTCAAAATAATAATTGTGCTAGCAACATAATGGTACAAAAGAAATACAAATATTAAATGGCTTTGAATGTTATATAGTACTGGAAAACTGGATAGTCTAACTTAATTAACAATAATCCATATATGAAACAAAATGTAAAAAGATGGCAAGCTTTATGATATCCTTTCTGAATGCGGATTAATGGATCTCTACACACTATTGCAATGGAGACTATACAGTACTACGAAACGCCTGTGAGTTTTCACCCACAGAAGTGCGAAGCTCCCCTGGACAAGGACTTGTTGCCCAACTTAATAAGTTAATAATAAAATAACTTAAGTAATTAAAAAGTGTTAGGTATAAAGACGTCAAAGCAAAATAAAGCCAGGACTACAATTAAGAACTTAAAATTCTCTTTCTAAGTTTAAATGATGACAAGGCAATTGTAGCAACCTGACCATTAACAGCTGGAAACACGTCTGCAAGAAGATAATTCAACTGTTTGGGGTCCACGCCCTTGAATTCACCTACCATCAATAATTTGGCCCTGATCTCATCATAAATGGGGCAGCGGAGGATGTGCTGTCGTGAATAATGTCCTCAACGTGACTGGCACCTCAGAGACAGAGACGCTTACAAAATCTCCCTTCAAGATATGCTGAAGTCATGGTCTGCAAGGGAAGGGCTGTAAAAACCTTTCTCAGTGGGATGTTGGCAATATTAACCAGATGCTGGGAGAGCCTTCTATATTTTTTATAGTGATGAAACCAAGATGAACATTTAGATATCTGTACTGTAGCACCCTTATTGGCATCCCTTTCAGAAAGCCTACCTCCATCCTTAGATGAGCAGCAGGGGTGCCCTGGGGGAGTCCCAAGGTCTTCCTATGAAGTTGCTTTGGATTGCTTCCAGTGGCAATAAGCTTCTCATCCCACCCTCAGATCTCAGCCCCATACAGCATCTGGGCTATCCCCTTACCTTGGAATATTTTAACTGCAGGGCTGACCAGCTGCCCTCCTTTGGAACAGAAAAACTTCAAAATAGCCCCCACTGTGCTCAGGGCAGTTGCTAAAATGGTGGCTAAATGTGTTTTCCATACAAGGCACTTATGAAAGGTGATGCCTAGGTATGCCCAGATCCACATAGCTTGACAGGGATATCCACTGGGTATGGTCAAAAAGTCAAGGTAGTGGCCACAATGGCGCAATCAAAGCTCTACCTGTTTTTCATGTGGGTTGCAGATTAACTTGGTTAACAGACTTGGCTGAAGTCTATTAGATGCACAACACAGTACAGTTACAGTAATTAGTTAGATATCTTTACTACAAATTGCAGAACAATTATTCTAAACTGATGCTAACTGAAATAATCTAGAAAACTCAAATACTATTGATTGCTGGAAATGTCCATCTTTGTTAGCTCTCACTGAACGGTGTAATATTAACTAAGGATTAATGTTTCATACACCATTCTAATTCTCAGTTACATTATATTTCAGGTAAAGTATATTATTGCTTAAATGGTTTATGAATAGGACTAATTTATTAGAAAGTTTTAATCATCTTCAAAGCATCTTTGGCTCCAAAATGGGGTGTTACCAAGAAAGCTCAGGAAACCGTAGGTATATATTAGACATGGCAAAGCTCTGAAAGGTGATCTGCTCCAAGGTTCCTGGTTTTTCCTAGCTTGGCTGATGTATTTTAATATTTGCTTAGATTGCCTTTTTAAAATCACTCAGGGCAGTGTTTCTTAAACTTTTTGTTCTAAGGACCCCTTCCCACTTTTAAAAATTATGGAGGACCCCAAAAGAGCTTTTGTTTGTATGGGTTATATTTACCATATTAAAAATTAAAACTGATGCAATATTTATTTATTGAAACATGTAAACGTAACAATATGAAACCCATTAGATATTAATTGGTGATATTTTGATTCAAAATATTTTCATGAAAAAAACACTATAGTTTTAGATTGCCTTTTTAAAATCACTCAGGGCAGTGTTTCTTAAACTTTTTGTTCTAAGGACCCCTTCCCACTTTTAAAAATTATGGAGGACCCCAAAAGAGCTTTTGTTTGTATGGGTTATATTTACCATATTAAAAATTAAAACTGATGCAATATTTATTTATTGAAACATGTAAACGTAACAATATGAAACCCATTAGATATTAATGGGTGATATTTTGATTCAAAATATTTTCATGAAAAAAACACTATAGTTTTTGACAAATAAAAAATATAATGACCAGAATAACATTGTTTTAAATTTTTGCAAATATCCTTAATATCTGGCAAACAATTTTGATTTCATGGACGCCCTGAGAGGGCCTTGGACAACCCCCAGGAGTCCTCAGACCAAACTTTAAGAAACCCTGACAGAGCTGTAAACCTCTAGACAACCACTAGATGGCAGTCAAGTGGCATAGGAAAATCTTAACTCTTTGCTCACAATTTTCATAGGTCAGATCTGGTAGCCCAGGCACTTCCACCCCACCACTGTTCCTACTGTCCAATCCCACAGAAGCAGTTCAAAGCCAGTCCGTGACCATCTTCACTTCCACTGAGCTCAGAGCTCTCTCCAGAGGATCCCGAAGAAGGTGCAAAGAGCTTCATTTAAGCAGGGCTCTGCTCCTCTCTGCTCTGCATGTTCAGTTCGCGGAGTGTGCGCGCATTTGGTGATATGCAAACAAAAACTGTGTCAAATTGTAGGACGTTGTGAAACTGCCAAGGTTTTATCCCTCTGTTGGATTTGAAACACCCATGAAAGAATAGTGCTTTGGCAAAATGCTACAGAAGCTGAATGCTATGGCAGGAGTGGGAAGAAGCTCCTTGGAGAAAAATGGTCTGACCTCAAGCTCTACAGAGTTGCAGCATTGGAAATGGAAAGATCACCATTTGTGTAATTTCAAATGCACCAGAGTAAAGCAGAAATAAATTGACTCATCTATTAAATGCGAATGACAGCATGAGATCACACACATCTGGAGCTCATTCTGGAGTGCTGCAAAGTCTCTATGCAGAAGTGTCCTGGATCATACGTTCTAGTGATATTGTTACTACTGGTACACACTATACAAGTATAGAATTATATTAGTGTACTGTATGCTGGGCTTGTGATCAAATAAAACATTTAGATCCTCATCTTAGTTCTTTTATCCAGTTAGGTGAGTTCCAAAAACCTGATAAGATCTCCTCAAGATTAATTTATAAATAACTCCTCAACCTGCAACATCACAGTTCTCATTTTAATCCATGCTGAAGAGCAATTGATGAGCAATCTTTGGTCCATCAACAGTCTATAAATCCAGTGAGCAGTAATATTATCTGGCCAGATTTTGCCAGAATTTGAATGGATCACACCTTTTCCTAAGCACCTTCAATCTCCCTTCTTATCTCCTTTCTTCAAGCAAAATGTATCAAGCCACTTAGGAGAACACAGATCTGCCTCTTTGCTAATTTACCACAATATTTTAGTATGTACATTAGCAGTGTCTCTTCACTGATGGCAACTAAGGCAGAACACTCCATGTTGTTTAACATCATCGGATGCTCAAAACCCATTCAGTACATTTGGTTTGAGTTTTGATCTTTATGACCAAGCATATTGGGTCAAGAAAATTGTACACTTTTTTGTCTTCTAGAATTATTGGAGAATTGACTGATATCCTTTAGATTCTTTTAATTCTCTTTATTTCAGGATGCTATAAATGGATGCATGGGCATATGTGTGGGCCCCATCTTGACTTTTTGACCCTTCCCTGCATGGACCCCTGCAATGAAATACTGTAACAACATTTTGATTGGTGGTTTTGAGAAATCATGTGGCACAGACTCATGTCTCTATCTCTAAGACATCCTGGAGGTTTTTATACAAGTTCTGGGTGTTCTAAGAGATGATTTGGGCAGCAACTCACTCTTGTAAATTGCCTCTAGAACAGCTCAAGTAAGATGGGGTTAGCCCATCAATTACACTAAGCCCAAGTACCTAGTGCCCAGGATCCCAGCTGAGTCTCAGCCAGATCCTTCAACTAGGTGAAGTTTGAGCCACAGCCCCACAAGAAGTGAGACTTCTAGAGTCAGAAACCCCATAGCCTGTGTGCTATATAAAAAGTGCTCTTTTAAGATAAATGGGCAGTTATCAGCTCAATTTTTATATAATGGAGTGATAATCTGTTTGCTTTTGTTCTTTCTTCTACCTTACCCACCCCCAGTCTGTTTTAGGATCCCAGTCCAGTCAGAATCATTTGCAGAATGCAGGTAAGAATTTAAGTGATGTTGTTTCTAATACTATCAAGTAAGTATATCACCTTCATATTACTGAAGATCATTTTTCCCTTAAATGACTCTGTGATTATGTCATCAACATGTTATCTGGGTTTTGTGTATTGTATGATGTGGCCAAGACAGTCTTGTACTGAGTCCAAGATTTAGCATCCTGAAACTTCCGCATCCAGTCTTCAAAGCAAATATGAAGCTAGAATGAGGGACCTATTTTAGCCCAAAGACCAAACTGGCATCAATGAAGCATGCTGAATGACTACGAGATAGCAGCAAAAGAGTCAAGAGTTTTCTGTATTTCTTTGCTAGCATTTAGCTCCAGAATTTTACAGTCCAGATAATAGTAGCTGTGCCTGTGATGGTCTCTTATACCAAGGTGAGCTAATTATCTGGGCTTCTAGCCCAATAGCAAGAAAGAGATCTGTTGCCTGAATCTTTATTTCTGGAGAGGTTACACAGCGACCTTTTCCTTTTTGACATACAGAGCTCATATTGCATCATTGGGCTTTGGCTTTATGGGACTGATGAAATAATTAGGTCATGATGATGGAAATTTCAGACATTAGAGTGGAACACCTAGCAAAATATCTTATTGCCAAACTTCAGCGCCCTCCATTGACACCTCCTTATATAAAATTTTATAAAATAAACAACCATTTACATAAAGTATTCAGATCAAGGAATTTAAATGTCCTTAGTGCCTAATGTTTTAGAAGGAAGTAACCCACATCAAGATAATAAATATGTCTACTTGTCCAGATGACCATATGCTATATATCCTAAATGTCAATTCTGCAGTGATGTCCTATCATGGCCTTTCCATTTCAGGAGAGTCATTTACAAAGACCTTGTTGCTGGTAGTCTTCCAGACCAGGTTTAGCCAGAAAAGGAGGAAAGGTTGGAGAGAGCGAGAGACTCTCCAGGGAAGGAGAAGAACAAAAGATAATAACTTGCCATCAGACATGCTACCCAAACTGATAACCAGACTAAACCTGAACATTCTCTTCTGCTTTCAGCATTTGCTCTCTGTGACATGGAACCTTCTGGATACTATAATGGAAGCCTCACCACAACAACCTCTGGGTCAGTTTGCTTAAACTGGTCAGACTTCCCTGATTACATCCAGCAGTATCCAAATCGGGGATTAGGAAACCACAACTACTGCAGGAATCCAGATGGGGGAGCCACCCCTTGGTGCTTCTACCAACTCTCTTCTGGAGCAACTGGCTGGGCAAACTGTGATTGTAGCCAGGGTAAGCATCACAGGCTAAATTTGGGGCGGGCATAAAGTATTCTAAAAGGAGGAGTTAAAGAGAAAATGTTAGGAATGCTTTAAAAGAAGAAGAAGAAGAAGAAGAAGAAGAAGAAGAAGAAGAAGAAGAAGAAGAAGAAGAAGAAGAAGAAGAAGAAGAAGA